CTGGTGGGTTGACCAACTTGTCATATTGCCGGTTGGGTTTCTATTGCTTACCTTTCTCAAGATTAGATGAAGCCAATTTCACATAATTTTGGAGTCCTCTATCACTCCAGAGCAGGTTGTGACAGCTCATGGGGGTCATTGCAGAGGAGGTAACTGTCTGTTTGCAACCTACAGCTATACCATACTTTTGACTTTAATTGCAGAAATTGGGTAAGCACACAAATTGGTCTAAGTAGCAGTAGTGGCAAGTGCACTGGACATCTTTCTGTATTCTCACCCAGTTGCTCTCTAATGCATGAGTCTCCTGTGTAAGTTGAAATTTTAAATTGCTGATTGATTGATTGATTGATTGATTGATTTATTTATTTATTTATTTATTTATTTATTTATTTAGGCGGCTTCCAGACAAATAAATTATAAATCAGTAAACAGATTCTTCAAGATGGGAAAAATAGCAAAAAAAAAAAGCGAAAAAAGAAAAATTAAGTATTGACCGGAGGGAAGGCCTGTTTAAACATCAAAGTTTTTAGTTGGGTCTTAAAAATACCCAGCGACGGGGCCGCACAAATCTCTGGAGGGAGAATGAATGACTGCTTGGATGGATTTGAACATAGAAGATACTGTGATACATTAAACTACAGAACAGGGAACAGCAAGTTTCATTGGTGCAAGGGTCAGTTTTCTGCTCTCCCCGAGATCTACTAGGGGCCGTACCTCCCTCCCTTCGAGAGCAATGTAAAATAAAATATTGATACAGAAAGTGGCTGTATTGTACTCCTGTTTTTGTCTTCTTTGTTGTGGGATGGAATGCAAAACTACGACCCCAGGAGGCTTCCAGGAGCTGGAAATGCTTTCCTGAGCACATTTTTAGTGCTAATGAATGTTGGGGTCCTTGAAAAAACCCATAGAAGGCTGACAGTCCTGGCCTGAGCTTTGCTCACTCTTCCTGAATTAGAGCAAAGAGCAGCTTAGATGTTTAAATGTTTTCAAACTGAAAAGGTATTATCCTGTTCATTATGATGTGTGCAATAACATTTTCTGGTACTAAGTACCTGCAAATCCAACAATGTGGGTATTTTAAATTCCTGAAGATTTGCTCTTTCATTTATTACAAATTCTTAGTGAATTCTTGACGACCACTGCACAACATGGATTGGATCAATATCATTTTTTTTCTTAATTTATGAGATCACCTGGCTGTTTTTCTTAAACATATCAAATTTTTGCCTTCCTATTCTAAACTCACTTCCTTTGTATATTACCAAACTATTTGGTGATTGCCATTAACATAACTATAGGCCTCCTTTAATACACTTTTGTAGCTCTTCTCCATGCTACTATTTCCCTGCTATTTTTTTGTTTTCCAGACACAAACATGGTGACCCTTTTAAGAAAACGTCGCTTACTAAGACAAGCAAGAAACATAGCTAAGAAACAACAACAGAAAACTACCTCAGAAGCTTCTAACCTACAAGTAAGATTACCCCCAAGTTGTAATGAAAACTACACAACATTCTTCTAAATTTTTAAACATCTGAGATTCTGTAGAGCAGAGGTCCCCAATCCCTCGTCCACGGCCCGGTGACGGTCCATGGCCTGAGCTGGACCGGGCTGCCAAGACAGACCTCCCCCCGCACGCACTCATCCCCGCTTTGTGTGGGTGCTCCAGCACACCTGTTTGCGGCTGCATGTGCGCGCTCCACATCTGCGAGCGCTGCACCAACATTTGCGCATGTGCATGAGCGCACCCATGTGGGAGAGAGCACATGCTTGTTTGTGCATGCATGTGAGCACGGGGGGTGCCCCTGCCTTCCCCAGCTGGTCCGTGGACTGAAAAAGATTGGGGACCGCTCCTGTACAGCAGTGGTTCTCAACAGTTTTTGAGTCACAACCTCCATTTATAATAGCCAAGCCCCCCATATTTGCTTAAAAAGGCATTTTTGATGGGGTGAAATCATCCTGTCTCAGAAAGTAGAGGCTTCTTTTTCCTCTGAAGGATTTGGTTCTTATATACACATACACACTAACTTTGACAATCCGCTCCGAAAGGTAAATCAATCAATTATTTAACAAGTGCTACCGCACATATAAGCCAACCTGCGATCCCCTTTGCGGGGGTGTCACAATTCCCAGGTGGGTGGGAAACACTGCTGTGGCAATAAAACTGGGATTATGGAAATTCAGTGACCAGTGCAGGGATTCAGAAAACCACCCACAATTTCAAGAAGTTTTAATTTTGAAAACCATAACTTTCTAAAATTAATACCAAAGTCTTTTGTCAGATTTTAAATATTTATTAGTACCTTTCTTTATCTGTGCCATTAAGTGCTCCAGACTGAAAAGTTTAAACAGTTGACCTGCCACCAAATATCAGAATTTTGAATGATGCTGATTTATTTTTATTCTGTTTTATTCTGTTTTTGTTTAGTCCACGAGCCTACTGAACAAGTGAATAGTTGGGAAGAATCCATAATAGTGGCATATATTTTCTAACAGACATGTCCAGTACTGTCACTGAAGGGTGATAGGTACTCAAGTGCCTTCTAGATAGCTACTTTTGAATATCCTGTGGCGGCGGCAATGAATATGGAGTTGTATGTGTCTTGTGTCTATGATTTGTGCTAGATAGTTTGATGAAAATGTTACCCTAGTGTGCAGTTGGTATAAAAAAGCAGACTCCATATTGGGCACAATTAGAAATGTAATTGAAAATATCACTGCCAATATCATACTGCCTTTGTCCAAATCTACAGTGCAGCCATGTGTGGAATGGTGCATACACTTCTGATCACTGTGTCTGAAAAGAGATTGTAGAGCTGTAAAAAGCGCAGAAAAAGGCCAAAAAATTGAAAATGTCAAGGGATTAGAGAAACTTGCATATGAGGAAAGGTTACAACATTTGGAGTTGTTTAATTTAGAAATAAGATGAGTATGGTAAGACATGATGTAGATGTACTGTATAAAATTAGATGGTGGGGAGAAAGTGGAACTCTTTCCCCCCCCTTTCTTCTAATATGCAGGGATCCCCACTGAAACTTGAGTATTATGAGATTCAGGATAAAAGGAATTACTTCATACTGCTGTGTGAAATTCCCTATCAAAATGTATAGTGATAACTGACAATTTGGATAGCTTTAAAGGGGGATTTGATAAACTTGTGAAGGCTAGAGCCATCATTGGCTATTAATCAGGATGTTTCTTTACATCATATCCATTATCAGAGACAGTGTGCCTCTTTTTATCACTTGCTGGGGAGCACAAGTGACTCCACTCTTGCCATTCTGGTGGCTTCTTATAAGTAATCAGTTGGCTGCTGTGTGAACAGAATGTTAACCAAGTTAGGTCTTTGTCTTATCCATCATTGCTCATCTTATGTCATTAATCACTGAATGTGAGGCTTTGGTATGGCAGCAGATTGAGTTTATGAGTATGCTAGTGAGGTAGCAATTTTGCACTTCATTTGTATTTACTTTCTATACCTTTTTCTGCATGGTCTTTTTCTGTCATCTTACAAGTTAAGTGACAGTAGTGGTTTCCAGACTCTTGGAATCCCAAGGAATTCCTTCTTCCATGCCCAGACCAACTATGCCAGCATGTCCTCAAGATGGAAATCCAATGACAAGAGCATCACATCTACCTACCCTGCTGCTAGGATTTTCAAGCATTCTGTGATCTTCACTTAAGTGATGCAGTTTGTGTAATTTTGTCCAGTTTCTCAGTATGATTTCAGATTTTGGCCCAGCTGTGTTGAAAACATCTGAGGGGATAACAATCAGCCATAAAGAAAGTATCACCACCACAGGTTCACATTATAATTGAAATGCATTTTTTTATTTTAAGAGAATTACAAAATCCCATAAATTAGCATAGTTTCTCATCTTAAATATAGTTTGCTAAACTTTTTGTGATCCCATTACGAGATCAGATGTAACATAAATGTGAGAGTGTTCAAAAGTTATACAGTGTACAAAAAGTAGTGAGTAGTCTTGCTTACTGATAGATAATCGGGCTCATAGTGTTGCATTTTAACTGATATACGTAACTCCTCTGCTACACATTCCTGCACTTCGTAAACTGAACTAAAACACTGGAGACTGTCTAACTCAGTGCCTTTCTGTATACTTGTTGAATGAAAATGCTGAGTGTTCCTAAATTTTTGCCAGTGTTTAAAGTCTTAAATCTAACCTTTAAAATAGTTAAGTGTAGAAATAAAAGTATAGCACAGCCATAAATTCAGAATCCAAAAGGTTATCTTAAAAATGTCAAAACCAGTAGTTAGCTTTATATTACACCACACAAGTGTATTCAATCCTGAAACCAAATTTGAAATCTTAAATCTGAATTCTAAAGCAGCCATTCTCGGCTTTTTTTTTCACAGCCATAAACACAATATGAAAGAAATGTAGGCTGAATCAAGATTGTATAAGTCACATAAAGGCCCTTATAACATGGTGTGTGAAGAATTGCTTTTAATGTGTGGCCCTCCCATCAAGCATGCCAGAGAGCCCCTGTTGAGAAAGATTGCTCAAAAATGTAGAATCATCCAGTACAGGAATACGGGATCAAAATATCTGTTGGGCATCATCTTAAATTAATCTGGAACCACTTCTTAGGTGTTTACATGCCTACCCAGGAATTTTTAATAGTCCACCTGTGTTATTTTATTAGCATTTTGTAATTTGTTCAGGACTTACTCAGCAATATGAAAGAATTTACATTATTTTAACACTTCCTGTACTGATTGATAGTATAGTATCATTGGAAATTGTTTAACAGTTGGAATTGCACCACAGATGTCAGACCAAGCTCTGTCACTTCCTCACCCCCAAGAGCAGTTGGGGTAAGGAAAGCAATATCGACTTCAGTGGGGGATGCATGGCATGACCCAACAGGGTGATACCCCTAGAACAGTAGTTTCCAACCTTGGGTAACTGAGGTGTTCTTGGAGTGCAACTCCCAGAAACCCCAGCCAGCACAGCTGGTGGTGAAGACTTCTGGGAATTGCAGTCCAAGAATACCTGGGTTACCCAAGGTTGGGAACCACTGCACTAGAAGGTCAGCACCCCAGAACTTGAGGCAACTGTCATTCTTATCAGTGCCTCAACTAGCCAATAGTTGGGGGCCAGCGGGGAGAACCCAGAAAATAATGAGGGAGGGGCAGACAAAGGCAGTGTCAGTTAGGGCAAAGCCAGGAGAAAGTTCCAGAAGCCAAGTGAATACAAGGGAAGAGGCATCCCTATCTGGGAAGAAAGAAGTGAAGTGTGAAGTGAGCCACATTAGTGGTTTCCAGACTCTTGGAATCCAAGGAATCCCCCCTTCCATGCCCAGGCCAACTATGCCAGCATGTCCTGAACTGCAAAAACCCATTGCAGCATGGGTGATCCTTGTCTTTGAGGAGGAGTAACTGCATATGAGACCAGTGCCTGAGTACCGTACTCGTGCCCAGTGCTGGCACCGGCAAAGCAGACAGCAGCTACAAAGGCTGCATCAGCTAGAACAATCTCTGAAGGTGCAACAGAGAGCACTCTCTGGCTCTGGGTACCCAACTGATGGGCAACAAGATGGCGCAGCCTGTAAAGAATGTCAACAGTTGGAGGCCCAGTGGGGGTGAACATACTTATTTGCTTCACTTGCTGCCCAGAGTAGACCTTTGGTCTAGATGGGCGGGGTATAAATCTAATAAAATAAATACTTAAAATATTTAGGTGCCACCTTTCTCCTAAAGGGTCTACATAAACCACCCGAGGGCATTGAGGGGCGAGGGACTATTGACTGCTCATGGACTTGATATAAGCTATTCTGGGTCTATGTAGAGGAGTTGTGAGTAGGGGATATGTGTGAGTTTCCTTCCATATACCATGTAACTGAGTGAACCCCCCAATAAACCATTGTTGTTTGCTGGCTAACTGAATGGACTGCCTACATGGTCAGTCCCATTTGCCCCTTTGATACCCACTTCCTGCCCATGGAGGGCCTGGAGAAGGGAAACATAGCTAGCAATTTATGTGCAGTTTTATCATACTCCTAAAGATGCGAAAGAGAGTAGGTGGTAGTGGATAGAATGTTAGATTAGGACTTAGAAGATCTGGGCACAAAGCTCTGCAGGGCCAGGTAAGCTCACAATGAGAGAAAGAGTATCCTTGAACATCTTATGTACCTAAAAAATATTCCGTGGTCACTGGAAACAACTCTCTGACTTGTAACAGCAGCAAAGAGACGCAAAAGTATTAGCAGCCTATTTTTCTTCTTGATTGTCTTCAACCTGAATAAATATTGTTAAACATGGTTTTCTTTCGGTGGTTTTGCCCTCCAACTTCTAAAAGACACTATCAGGGACGTGGTGGTGCTGTGGGTTAAACCACAGAAGCCTTTGTGCTGCAACGTCAGAAGACTTGCAGTCGTAAGATCGAATCCACGTGACGGAGTGAGCCCCTGTTGCTTGTCTCAGCTCCCGCCGACCTAGTAGTTCGAAAG